GATATCAAAACCAGACATATTTATCGATTATATTGTATTTAGACCTATTTTATTTAATAACTATATACTCTAGAATAATATGATTCATTTTTAGTGCGGATTGGTTATTAAATGAGTTGTGTATATTTGTCATGTTTTGCGAGTGACATATACGATGAGGCCAATCAAAATTTTGATTTATTTTTTACGTGCGATTAGGCAGGTTAACTGCTAGATAACGGATAACCGACAACAATTAATGAATTGGTAGGTGTTAGTTCATTTTGACAACGCACGTTTCATATAGACGTATGAGTTAAATAGCGGTAAAGCTTATTGCAAAGCAATGATGATGCAAAGCATCGAATCTCCGATTCCCCTTCGGGTCTACAAAAAATCGGGTCATTTAATAACTTTATTAATGTATGAATTCGGACGTGACATCGATGTCACTGGCGCAGTAACGTGGCGCAGTAACAATTATATTCTATTCTCCTTTTTTAAAACTTCGACTATCACATAATCAATATTTTCTTGGCTTAAGTTTGAAATGTTTGACGCCGAAAATGATCTAATACCTCTTATTTTCTCTTTACCAATACTAACAAATAAACCATATATTTTTCCTGCTCGCTCTTTTCTTTTTTTCAATGCATCGTTGGTGATATTATCGGGGAGTTGTTTCCGGATTTCGTCATTAACAAGAGCCAAGCAAGCTCGATCTCCATGTTTCAGATTCTTATAATAATCGAAACGTTTTTTCATAGCTTCACCAAAGTTGAAATAACTTTCAATAACTTCTCTACTCGCTTTAGATTCAGTCTGCATAATTTTGTTATAATGGTACAAAAAATTATTGGTGCTTTCGTTGACTTCTATTGCTTTTTTAGAATTTTCAGGTATCGTTGATGTCAATTCCTCAATAAGTTTTTTTAATATAGGAGAATCTTCTTTCGAAACATGCTTCTTCACTTTCTTGCTGGATGATTTGCTGGTAAATTCACTAACGCGCTTTTCAGGCAGACTTGAGTATTGGGGCAGACTTGGGAAGTAGGCGGTAGATAATGCCGGGGATATATCCATCGAATCGTTGGTATTCTGACTTCCAGACGTAGCATCAACCATAGATAAGACATAGTCTTGAGACTTTGCCTCTTTTACCTCCTTCTTGCAATCAGGTCTTGGGCATATTGAATGTTTTTTGATGGAATTTTCGATACAATCGCGATGATATATATGACCACAAATGAGTATGGTAATCGGGTTTTTTATCTCATACAAAAAAAGTTCTTGGTTGCATAACGAGCATGGATCTAGCTCCGGAACATCCACACTTTCCGCAATCTTTTCTGAGAATGAATTTTTTAGAATATTTAATGCAAGGGCTTCGAGAGATAAGATATTAGCAGACATTCCGGCACTTTGTAACTGAAGAGTGGGTCTACTCATTAATAGAATTTTGCTCACCAAATTACGTACAAGGCACACGTAGATCTCGGAATTGTCCATCTCGGAATTGTATATCTCGGACCTGGCGATCCAAAATGAAAATTTTGATTAAGGAAAAACATCTGCTGGTATGGTCGGCAAAAAAAAATGACAGGTATATGTGATAGCAAAGACATGAATCCCCGACTCAAAACATATATATATGAGCGAAATCATGCCTTCATTTTATTCATATCAGAAGAAAAAGAAAAAATGGTAGGTATATGCTTATAGCAAAACTCATCCACATATTTTATACTCATGTCTAATAATGTATTGTTTAGAATTATGATCCTCTCGTGGATTCGGGAAACAAGGGCAAACAGTTTAATATCGAGTTTCTTGTTATTCCCATCCATGGATTTTTCGGATTTCCAACCAACTATCTTAGGTATAGTCTTGTCATATTCGAAAAAGAATCTATCAATGATGTAAAAGCAAAAATTCAGTGGCATTTTCCAGAAGAGTTTAAAAATATTCCTTTTAATATTCGAGTATCTGATCCCAAGGTCAAAACATACAAAGACATGAAATTGCAAGATAAAGTTAGTGATTATTTTGATAAAAACCTGTAACGGGTCATATTCATATTATAGTAGAATCCATTATTTAGGTTTTCATATCTACAATATCATCAGCGTATATTGAAACTTTGTAATATGTGGTGTGGTTACGACCATTTAGGCCGATTGTCTTGTTAATAATAAAAAATACATACGAGACGGGAAAACTATCTACCCGTTATTTTTCGGTTGATCCTAGCCTTCTTACTGGTTGGGAAGTTCACATGACTGTGAGACAAATCTGTCCCAGAAAAATGCCGATACAAAATCGATTGCGTATACAGATATTCGATCAACATATCAGAATAAATTAGAAGGTCATGGAACTTTTCATGCATGATGTAATCGTGTGACCTGAAATCGATTGCGTAACACAGCAGATGTTTGATCGACACATCACATACTATACCACAGATGTATACCACAGAAGGTCATGGAACTTTTTCATGCATGATGTAATCGTATGACCTTCTGACTAACACAAAAAACCAGATTTGAATATTTTCTTTGTAAAAAGTTTTTTCGCTGTGCATACATAGTAAATGCCGATGGGCTCCAGTTTCACATTCCCTAGATCTATTGCATGGCAATGTCTCTCCGAGCTACTATTCCCATACCCAAATGCGGTAGAAATGAGCGGGGGGAACGTTTAAAAAGGGCAGTATAATTGCGTTGTGGTTTGTCGCTTTCAGTGATTCTATAACAAAACCCTTACTATTTTTCTTTGCAATACCAACCGTTATGTCTACCGATTTACAAACAAAAATTTATAATTTCTTGATTAACGCAGAAGAAGATCATATAACTGCTGGATCGGTTATTTACCAAGCTATAGAAGATGATCCATGGATAGAAAAAACTGAGCTGAAAGGTGTTATAGAACAGGCGGTATCATTTGCTAATAATCGAAATATTCGAGGTTCCTCACGTCATACGACACTTCTCGAAATTCTACCCGAAGTAAGTTATCTGACTTTTTATTAGTAAATAAAATAATTTCGAATGATGGATAACGTAGACAGTGGTACAGTCTGAGTAAGAAAGCGTAATGGTTTAAATATCCTATTAGCCCACTCACAGGAGAAATTCCTCGGCAGTGTGGAGGTTATTTAGACCAGATATATGCTTAATTCTATGTGGTTGTTTTAGTATCACATAAAGTCTTATTTGCGTGTTGGAGTAGCTAACCACACAAGGATATGGCTTTATTTATATTCTGACGGCGCATGCGTTTTTTGCCGGAGGAAATAATTGTTATTGAAAACTAATTAATAATTGCATGTCTGCGTTAGTTCGAAATTTCCTATAAAACTGTTTGTAGTTTACGTATCATTGGAGCGGTGAAAACGAATGAAGAAAAGCCTCTTAGCTCCGGTCAAATTGGAAAAAATATCAAAGCGCTAAAAGGAAAACTTAAAAAAAACCTATCACAGCTTTACCAGTATTTATTTTCCAGTATAAAAAATATATCTATTTCTGCGTTAAGCTGGAAAGATCCTCTAGCTAGCCAAGTGATCAGTGACGATTCATATTTAGTGCAGAATTTACCTACACAATTAAGGGACATATTTATGGTGAGTACTTTTTCAAAAGGAAATCAATCGTATTCTAATTTATCATGTTATTAGAAACCAGTACGGCAAATGGTGCCTTCGTCCCTTCCACCAATTATACAAGAAAAATGCAATCAATTCGTAGAAAACTTTATTGCGAGAGGTACAGACAGTTTACCACGAAAACTTACGCATGATGGAGCGTGGAAGGAGTCGAACGAGGAGCTTGCAGAGGTTGCGTCGAGAATTTTGTGTACTCTGAACGATGCATGGAATAATCCAGCATTTGATCCTGAGTTCGCAGAATTGCAAAGTGAAGGCACTTACGTAAATAATGTAATATTACCCGCCATACGAGCTACATTAAAATGTCTTCCTCTAGGAAAATCCACCTTTGTCAGCAGTTCCGAACGTCAAAGCAGTGCTAGTGCGGACAGAAAGGGAAATGGGCGGTTGGGGAGACGGCCGGATATTATGTTCGTAATGAAACATGGTGAAAAAAATTACGAACTTTTATATACCGAATGTTCACGTTTGACTTGTACAGCACAAAAGGGGGTAGGCTAAAGCGGAGCAGATTCTGTGCCACAGCTGCTGCAGATCGCCACAATCATCGCAAACGCCACCACACATTTTGGTATCATGTGATATCAGATCACAAAGTTTCATCGAAAACAAAGTTACGCGTTCGGTTTTAGATTACGATGATACATCAGCTTTAATGTTACAGAACGCTTTATATTTGAAACCCTTTATCTGTTAATTCAGGCTGGGCTTTATTATAATATCAATTTTGAAACTTGAATACGATG